GCGCCCCCGCGCGAGCCGGAAACGAAAGGCACGGGGATGCTGCTTACTATGGCCACGTGCCCTCTCCTCGCCCCCCCCAAGAGCCTGTCGGGGAGCCGCCAGCGCCTCACCCCAGCGGGCACCCCACAGGCCCTGCTGCAGGAGGGGTGTCCAGCATGGGGGCTCAGAGAACAGGGCCCAAGAGGGAACACGGATTTTGTAGCCGGGTGTGTGCTGGGGAGCAGGGCTGTCCGAGGAGGGAGTGGGCAGCACAGGGTCCAGCCCTGGTAGGATGCAGAGCTCCGTCGGGCTGGAGCCAGGCTGGGGACAGGACAGGGGGCTCAGAGAGGTGACAGGGAACCCCAGCACAGTCCCAGGCATGGGATTCATGCCTGACCGGGAGCAGAGGGATCTGCATGGGTCCAGCCTGGACAGAGGGGAAAGCCTGGGACAGGGATGGGTGCAGGACAGGGATGGGTGCAGCAAAGCAGCTGCCAGAGAGGAGGGAACCAGAGCGAACGCAGCTGAGGGCTCTTACCTTATTTTTGCTGCTCTCACAGCCCTGCAGGCTGGCCAGGATCTGGCTCTCGATGGCTTGGACCCAAAGCTCTCGCTCCTCTGAGGTTGAGGCCTCAAAGAGCCAAGTCTGGCCCGTCAGGGACACAATGATGAACTCAAATGGCTCATCCGGTTCTGGGAAAGAAAGGAATGCCATGGGTGAGAGAAGAAGGGACCCTGCCAGCCTTGCCGGGTGTGAGCCCCCAGGCAGGTCCCTACGGGCACCCCTGTGCCCACCCGTAGGCAGGACCGCGGGCAGGCATCGTCCCCAGGAGGCTGGGACAGGGAAGCGCAGGCAGAGGGGGCCTGCAGGGAGGGCCCAGAGCTCCGCACCAGCCCATCCCTCCCGCTGCTCAGACAGCTCCCTGCCGCAGCCTCGCCCCCCAGCCACCCCGGGATGGGAAACCCGGGAGGCACCAGAGCCCTGGGAGCTGCTTGCGCCCTGCTCTCCATGTCCCGCACATCCCACCCTTGGAGGAAGGTGCTGACCTCTTGAGCAGGGGGACCAGCTCCTCCACAGAGCGGGTGCCCCCGCACAGCCCCATCGCCCCCCAGGGGCCCTCAGGGTGCTCAGTGCCTGCCGATGAGCGGCTTTGGAGGGACAGAGCCCTGCACACTGAATCAGGAGGTGCAAGGAAGGCCCCTGCCGTGGGCTCAGCAGCAGCTCCTCACAGTCCTGTGCATCGAGAAGGGGCACCATGGCCAGCTGAGGAGCACGGCAGAGCGGGGATCCTGCTTGGGAAGCCCTTGGGGCCTCCTCGGCACAGCACTGTCGTCTGCGTCCCTGAGCAATCCCAGAAGATCTGGCCTCAATATTGAAGCACTTCTCTGGCTGTGAAACGCATGGTGGCAGATTTCTGACTTTCCATCTTCAGGGATGATAGCTTTGGTGAGCCCCAAGGGTCGCTCAGACTGCCAGGCACCCACAGGAATGGTACAAAGGGAAGCGCTAGCGTCCCTACGAACGCCGGCTGCCTGGTGGGTTTCTGGGGAGGGTCTCAGAGCTGGCAGAGCCAGCAGAGAGTGGGGGACAGTGAAAACGTGTGAAAGCATCTCAGGTGCCCTGGGCCTGAGGAAACAGCCCCGAAACAACTGGGAGCCTCCTGAAAAGCTAAAATGCAGTCTCCCCTCTGGCTACTACTGCGGTTGCAGTAACACCCTCCCAGTGGGGGCCGCTGGGGCTGGGCTTTGCCCCCCCCCCCACGCTGCTCACATTTGCACAGGGTGCCCTGTCTCAGCTTTGCACCCAAGCGCCAGCATTTACCTTTTATTGCCAACTTCAGTAGTTAGTGCAGTAAATGACTTAACTAAGCAGGGCCTGAATGGAATGACTAATAAACGTTATGTCACAGCACACGCTTCAGCTCATAGCAAAATGATTTGTAATTACCTAATTAGCGTTATGCAAATAACACCCTCATCTCCATAATGTGCCTTCCCAGCTCTCTATTAAAAGCAGGGAGTCAACTGCACAGCTCCAGAGACAGCAAGGAGGCTGAGGGACCCAGCCTGGTCCAGGGCAAGGCAGACCCATGCTGGTCCGTGCCTGCTGGGGCAGGCGCAGGGATGCGAGTGAGGGGACCTGCTCCTGTGCCCACCTCCCCCCCGCAAGCTGCGCCCAGAGCAGCCCCTTGCTGCGGGGGGCAGCGGCAGGAGGGCAATGGCTGAGGAGCCTGCCGCAGCCCGTGGCATCCCCCCAGAGCTGACAAGTGGGTGCAGAGGCCATCATCCAGGTCCCACCAAGGGCACGGCCAATGTCACTGGCTGAGCAAGGCTGTGCCCCCAGCACTCTCAGAAAATGGGTGCAGCCATGGGGAGGCTCCTTGAGGAAAGACAGCTCTGGTGGGGGCGGCGGGAGAGCACAACCCTTCCTCTCTTGCAAGTGCTCTTCCCCGGCTCTCGCTGCCTTCGGAGGCACCACCACCGGCATCAGCACGTGCTGGGCTGTCCCTTTCCATCAGGCACAGCAGCTCACCCTGCAACAACCTGAGGGTAAAACGCCACTCCTGCCACTGTGCCGTGGTGAGAGCATCGTGCTGCTCACACGGAAGGCTCAGGATCTTGCATTTCACGGGGGTCAAAAGTGCGAGTGAGATCTGAATGGGAAGATGCCGGCCCTTTGCCTTGCTGTGAGCTCTCCACGACGTGTCCTGCACAGATCCCAGCACAGGCCACGGGGGCGCGGAGATGATCAGCGCTGAAGAAATGGGCCGGTGCAGGAACACAAGGGCTGGTCTCCACACCAGCAGCCCCTCGAGAGGATCAAATGACTCCAGAAGGAAGGGCCCTCCTGGAGAAGTGCCGCTGGCTTGCCTGTCCCCGGAGGGAAGGGGAGGCCGTTCCACTCATTTCACCCTTGAAGCAGCCTGGGACTCTTCCTCTGGGGGAAGATGTCTGCAACTGTCTCTCCCTGCTGGGAATGAGAACCTCTGGGCCTGAGGAGGAGGAGGGGACCGCGGGGTGCTGGCAGTCAGTGACGCCACTGGACTCCTCCCCTCTGCGATGCACTTGCCTAGCTGGGACGTCACACTTGCCCAGCACCTTGCCCCTTCCTCCAGCTCCCAGCCACAGAGCAGCCCCTGCAGTCCCTGCTCCGAGGAGCTCCCTGCAGGAGACGTACCCCCTGCCCTAAGGGCGTTTGCTGTGAGGGTTCCAGCAACACCAGATGCCAGCTCAAAAACAAGTCTTAGAAAATATACACCTGGTAGCTTCTGCATACTGGGAGAAGACATAACCAGGCAACAGCAAGGCCAGTACCCACTGCCTCCTTGGCTAGCCAGCCCCATCATCCGTGGGCACTGCCAGACCCCAGACGTGGGCAGGGGGCACCGAGCCACAGAGGGCGGCTGAGTGAGACTGCCAGGGTATGCAGCCGGATCTCCCCGCGCCCTGCGCAGCTCCAGCCCACTCACCAGCCAGCAGCTGCCCCCGCCTCTTCCACTGCCCCAGCCTGTGGCCGGGGTCTGCAGTCCAGGGACCTGAGCCGTCCTTAGAGATGGGTCCTTCTACCCCTGCAGGAGGCTAGAAGAGAGGAAGGATCAGGCCCCCAGGAGCTGCAGGACCGGTCGCTGCCCAGGGCAATGAAGAGCCCGGAAGGAAAGAGGGGCATTTCGGACCACCCAGCTGCTTGAGAGAGCGTTTGCGGTCCCCAGATCTTGGATCAAGCCACGCTGTTGGAGCAGTGACCAACAAAGCCACTCCTGGGGCACCCCCATTTATCATAACGGGCACTGCTCTCCTGAAATCTCTCCTGTCCTTGGCCTGAGCCACCTGTGGCTGCTGTCAGAGCTGCAGAGCCCAGGCCAGCCGCTTGGACCTGAGGCGTACTGGATGCACTTCACATGCTCCCTGCTTCCAGCGCCACTCCTGCTGCCACTGCAACAGCAGCAAGCGCGTTAGCACAGTCCCCGGGACACGGTGAGGGCTTCTGCCAGGCGCTCACACCACTCCATCGTCCTTATTCTCTTCTCTCGCTCCCTCAGCAACTCCCCACCAAACGTGCAGGTGGGAATCCCAGCCCTGTGCCAGCAGCTTCCCAGCAGGGACGAGGCAGCGAACGCTCGCCCCGCAGGGCCTGCTTGCCCCAGGGCTCCCAGGCGCGTCACGGCCCCGCTGGCTCAGATGCCACGCTGCGCTGGGGGTGCTGTCGGTCCCCTGCTCAGGATGCTCACAGAGGGGCAGCCGGCTGCCTCCCTGCTGCCAGCATCCCTGCTGGGCTGCCCGCACCAGACCATGGGCGAGATTTCTGGGGCTCCAACCCCACTCAGACAGACTTTCTCACCGTCACAGCCCAGGGGCATCCCGGAGCCCTGGGGCTGCCCAGTCCCAGCCCTGGCAGCGCTCCCAGTCAGACCAAAGCCCCACCATCAGCTTTGCAAGCTGCAGGACCTCCATTCCCCTTCCTCCTTTGTGCTTCACAGATTCCAGCTTTACCCCGAACAAAGGGCCCGTTGCTCTCGGCATAGCCCGGGAAGAGCTAACAAAGGGCAACAGCTTTTCTGCCACACTGAGGCTTCTTTCACAGGCGGAATCACTACCTCTCCCTGCAGCAATGCGGGACGGCACTGCAGGGCCAGACCTCTTTGGAGGCTTCGGCACGGGCGGCTGCGGCAGGAGGGTGGGGAGCTGCGGGATTACACCCTTGGATATGCACGCACGGTTTGGCAAAGCTGGGAAGGGAATGGAGGACTCGGAGCAGCTCCAAACGGTGCAAAGACCCCATTTCTTGGATGGTCTAGGATGAGCTCCTGAACTCCCAGGGGGACCTGTACAAGTTGAACCAGACTCAGGCCATAGCTTTAGGGAAAGTATGGGGCTTTCTCAGATTTTCCTGGGGGGAGGCACAGCTTTCTGATGTGGCAGGGGCATTTCTGGCACGGTGCAAGGGTGGCACAAAGCAGACGACTCGGGCAGAAGGGTTCGGACTACATCTGTTGATGCAGTTGGCAGAATGTCCTTCTCGGCACCGTAGGCAGGGCATGGGCCCCTTCCCGGTGGCCGGCGGGCCAGAAGAGCCCCGGCTCTCGTCAGCCTGGAGGAAGGTGCTCCTACAGGAGTGGGGAGCCCTTTCCAGCTGCCTCGGGGCAGAGGGGCTATCCCAGGGCCGGAAGGCGAAGCCCATCTCCCTGGCCCTGCGGCTGCTCGCAGGCACGATGGTGGGAGGCCATTACGCCAGCTCCATTAGAATTAGTGGGCAGTGGAAATGAACGTGCTTGTCTCTCTCTCTCTTGATGATTTTTTGATGATGTTTTAAAGACTGAGCTCCGTGAAGAGTTGCTGAGCAGAGTTCAGTGCGAGCCAGCTCTACTAATGGGCGTTAACCCCACGACCCAGCTCCAACGCTGCCCAGCAATGAGTGCTCCAAATGAGAGTAAAATTAGCGAGGGCACCGCGCAGCGGCCAGGGCCGTGGGCTCTCAGACCCGACGAGCAACTGAGTCACCAAGCTGAGCGGGCTTGAGGATGGTGCAGCAACCACCACGAAGGTGATGGGCCCTCGTGGTGTCACCCTTCCCCAGCCGGCTGTGCTGGAGAGGGGGGACGCCAGCAGCCCCCCCAAGTCAGCCCGGGGAGGAAGCCTCGCCTCAGGGCCAGCAGAGGAGCAAACGGGAAACGGAGGCACTCTGCATGCCCTGC